TAAAACCTTGATTAGATGTTGCCCCCAGAGCAACCTGGTCTTGATGATGCTGCAAGGGTTTGAACCAGACGGCTGCCACAGTCCCTTCCAACCTGAATTGTTTGATGATTCTATGATCATTCCCAACAAAACAACAGAACGTAACCAATAACAAAGAACAAACTGGAACACCAAATTTCAGTTATGGATGATTTAGAAAACTAAATTGCATTTTCTTGACCAAATGAAATCCAGCAGTGTAAAAGGACAAAGCTTCTCATAATATTTAGAATGACAGATTCATTTTGTATCTAAACAGGCTCTATTTTACTTAAAATGCCTGCGTCAAAGTCTGTCTGGTTATGTAACATTAGTTAAAAGTAAAAAAACAAAACAAAAAAGTTGACATATGTCTAGAAATGAAATTCTCCAAAAATAGTCAGAGAAGATTTCAAAAATCATTTTGAAGAAAACAAATATACTAACAAGTCTACTTTACATCCTCTTGTAATTAAAACTGGCAATTATTTGTGCAAAATCCAGTACAAATAACAAAAAATATCAGAGACTAAACAGGTTTTGCATTTGTAGTGTTGCCAGTGGAATCATCCTATCTAGGCAGCTGTCATTTATAAACCAACACGTTTCACTGTATAGGTGAAACTGTGATGTGTAAGCTAACACATCACTAGCTACAAATGGTTTCTAAGCAATTTGAACCAGCAAGGGAAATGTCACTAATAAATACTGAATATTGCAGTTTATCAAGTGATCAAAGCTTACAGTTCCAGCAATTTATTTTGTTGGTTCAGATTTCATTTTTCCTTGCTTTACATGGCATTGACTGTACCACGCTGGGCATCACTAAGCTAGGTGTTGTGCAAGAAATAAAAAAACTTATAGATTCTACGAGAAGAACCAAGTCATATCAGCAATTACAGTGCAAAGCACAAAATAAATAACCCTCTGTAACAAAAGCAAGAGCTGCCTCACACAATCTGAACCTAATTCTTTGGTCATGAAAGCAATTATGAAACTCCTGTAATAATTCTTTGCATATTGAAAAAGTATCACAGCATTATCATAGAGGAAAAAACTCTGAAGCTCATCATAATAGCTGTATAGCTATTTAAACCTCTGTTAAGAGCTAGTCCTTTTAGAAAGTTTACAAACAAGTATTCAGGCAATTTAAGTATCAGATAAGCAAACAAGAATGCTTAGTAAGATGTATAATGTGTTTATCTAAGAACTGTATTGAAATAATTAATAACAGAAGCAGCGACCCACAATAGCTGCTGCCTGCATGTCAATAAAGTCTTGTTTAGAGACAAAAGCAGAATACATTACTCAATTCTACAGTTGTTATGCTTAGCAAACAAAAACTTGGGCTTTGCGTTCCCCATTTCCTTTGTGTTTTTGGTGGGTTTGGGGGGGGGTTGTTATACTTTTTTTTTTTGGAATTAAAGAACTGACATTCTACATCATACTCATATTTCTCAAAGCAGTGCAGCACAGCATCCATTTTGAAACAGCTTCAGATTGAATTAAAGGACCTTTAAAAAAGAAAACCAAAACCATAAAATCACATAGTACATAGCTACATTTCACTAAGAACAAGAGCAAGAATGTCTGGTGGAAAATTCTACTTTAAAACAAATCAGAATTAAAATCTCCAAAGCCAGATTCACGATGGTTAGCAGCACAGACTCAGGCAACCTCATCTCTTTTTGTTTCCTTTCTCTGAGAGCAAAACCAACATGGACAATACTTATTTTGCCCTTCACTGGGGCTGGGAGAATTGATATCAGACAAGGAAGGTTCCAGTTTGTGGATATCACTGCTACGGTATTCACTGCTCAGAACTGTTAGGTCCCATCTTTTCATTTACCCATTCAAAATTAAAGATGAAGGTTACGATGAGTTCGTTTTTAAACACTGACATTTTTATCCAACCATCTTGCCTTTTTTTAAATGCCATCTAGTAAAGAATTTCAAAGGGCTCAGCTTCTTTAATGAGGCATTAAAATACAGTCATACGACAAAAAAGCAACTCTACTAAGTCTCTTAAACCCCTGGACTTACATTATCAGCTTTTATGTGCCTGTCAACACTCAACAGCAAGAAGCAATGGTTTGCTCTTTGCCTCGAATTTAAAAGCCAGCTAAACTTCCTCTCACTTTCCTGCTGAGAGCTTTAACTCCTTGCAAACTGTCAAAGCTTTGACACTTCAGCAGCAGGTAAATCTAAGACATGATGCAACAGTCAGGTGTACTCTCAATCAAGCACCGGCCGCTAATTTACTAGTGGCTATTTAATTCACCTCAAAAAGCAATAAACTAGAAATACTTCCCCCCCCTCCACATACCCACACTGCTTGCAGGTCAGCCCTTTAAATAGATATTAGCCCTGTCAAAGAACCAGGCACAGTTAACTTTCAACTTGAAAGAAGTGAAACATTTAAAATTGTAGAGATGTCGACGTATGGCTAAAATGCAAATGCATTTCCAATCCAGAAGCTAATGTAATAGTGCAGCATTTTTCAAGAAAAGTACATGCAAAGCGTTAAATACTAGAACTTCTTTAACCAGAACATTTCTCTGAATATCCACAGCCTGGATGTGGCATTCAGTGTAAAAGCTAATTGACATAAAGCCCATTATTAATTCATTTTACAAAGGTGCCAAGCTAAGTGCAGCTGTGGAAGAATAAGATTTGGACAATTTGCTTAGTAGAAAATGTGAAGTTCACAGCTGAGAAGCCCTATATTCTGTTTGGTATAAGCTAAAATATTTACACCATTATTTTACTGTACAGAAAAACAGTGACTGCACAGATAAGCCATGCTGTTTCTTTACCAAAAAAAATGAGATACAGACTTAAAATGAGATCCTTGATATACTACACTTAACAGCAGTATACTGAAAAACGATCCTTTCCCTTTTCTTCTGCTCTTTTCACACCATAATTCCACAGTATACAAAACCCCTATTTAAGTCTCCTAACCTTGATAAGGACTTGATCCCACTCTCATTCAGGTGAATGGAAAAAGATCTCATAATTAACTTCAAAGATGCATGACTAAGGCACTGAGTGCCAAAGCTACAGGACAGTATTTTAGTAATTTATTTATGAAAATATTAGGTGGTTTTTTTCACGATGCTATTTTTTTTAATTTTCAAAAAACTTTTTTTTTTCCTTGTGACAAGAAAAAAGATAGCTTTGTCTAAAGATCAACCATTTCTGCTGAGAATGCACAACACTGAGACAGCTCTCCCACTCTCCTCACTCCAGGCATTTGCTGGGGTAGAAGCCACAAGGTACTATACAGAAGTTACAAATACATTTATGGTTTCAAAGGGGGAGACGAATTAATTAAAATAAAGCTATCTGAGGTTCTGCCAATGTTGGCTTGTCTCCTTTTTTCAAATATCTTAAATACAGCCTGGCATGGGATTTTCTCTCACCACTAGAAGGACTTCAATGGACTTCAAATGCCAAACAAATCCTTTGACTCACTGTGTCAAACCCCAAGGGAAACACTTGACAGCAGGAAATATATGAACAAGAATGCCAAGAGTTAAAAAGTTAAGTTGGACTGATTCAGCATTCAGATCAAACGACTACAGTTATTCCGAGATTATTAATGAGTACTCCAAGCAACCGGAGGCTCTGACGCAGACAAGAACCTGCACATCACAGGCATTCCAGGAACCCTGGCTTGTCTTCTCTGGAACAAAACCTTAGCAAAACGCACACTCCCTCCTGCTTTAAAAGCATGGCACCTCTCATTGCCTCTCTGTCCACAAACACAAGACTGAAAGTCACTAAATACTTCCTTCATCAAGGTTATGATCTGCAGAAATTTTTCCTGAAATTCTTGCAAATCTCTTAGCATCTGTAGTAACTTTTAAAACATTGCACACAAAAAGTCTTTCACAATCTCAACAGACAACCAAAGTAATGAAAAAACAAAACAGACACAAGAAGAGACAGCAAGTCTTCTCACCTGCTGCAACTTCAAATACAGATTTTTGGAGATGGTAGAATGAATACAATGATGCTTCAAGCAACGATAACAGAACCTTGTTAGTTCAAATGGAAAGGGAAGGGCTTTTTTAACTGAGCATAAAATATGGGTGGGAAATACTAGGAAAAGACAATGTGAACCATATATTTCAGAAAGACAGAGTCAACACCATCCAATTTTCGTCTTACTTAAAACTGTTTAACAACCAATTAATAAAACTTTATACACAGGGATAACCATGTCCAAATGTAGATTAAAAGTAGCAATTTTATACAGTTTAGGTACTTAGCAAAATAATCCCCAATACTTTTTGAAGAGCAAACTCAATAGCAGAAGTTATTAAAACTGCTAATTTCTGAACCCTTTTTCCAGATAGAATGGCAGGAGGCAGATATTCCTACAGATATCAAAAGCCGTCTCTAGGGGATCTAGAAATAAACAGTCTTCCTAATAAAGTTTTTAAGTGGCCTGAGTATTTTTCATGTTATCAGTGCAAACACCACACTTCCAACGCAACCTGAATTTGGTGGGGTGGGGCAGCAAGGGGACATGTAATAAATAATTTATTACTGTAAAATCTCATTGAATAAATGTTTAAGTTTTAAAATTCAGCCATCTTGAAATATAGCCAATTTAAACAAAAAATAATTCAGGATAATTTTAGACCCAACATTCACCCAAGTCTTCTGGAAACTTTCCTGTGGTTTTACAATCATTTCCTCTAGTCACCTTTCACTGCTCGTCTGAAGACCTGCACAAGCATGTTGGGGAAGAGAAAAAGAGAAGTGACCAGTTCTCCAGAGAAAACCATGATAATTACCATGACCTTGGCTTTATACTGTGCATACATAAATGATTAAAAGAATTCAGACATAAAACTGCTTGGTATTAGTGTAGTTCCACTGCCAATCACTGCATCTCCTACAGTAAATAGAAGGTGAAATAGTTTGGCATAGGTAGAGATTTTTAAATTAGGAATGTAAAACAATCTTACCAAAAGTAACTTCTCCTTTGCCAGTCTTGTCAAACAGCTGAAAGGCTACTATGAACAATGCATCTGGAGCACACAGGACTGATTCAAATGCCACAAACTCTTGAAAGGATATCAACCTAAGGGATGAAGTAAAAAGCAAGAGCTATGAAACCACTTGCTTGCAGAATACTGAAATACAATATAACATACATTATACAAAAGAAATAAGATCACAACCAAAATGTGTACAAACTATTATCAATAGGGATTAAAATGGAACCTAAAATGCCCTATCCTCAATGCTTTCAGGAGGCCTTTATATCACTAGATGGAAATGTCTGTTAGACAAGGAATTATTACTCTTAGCAAGTCACAACAGAACATAAGCAAAACACCCAGTGTGGCTACTCACCTCAGCTTTAATGTCTAACTGAACTGCCCTCTGGGGGAGCATGCCTCTCTCCACTGGCAAGACAGAGGTAATAAAGACATGAGTAACTTCCCTCAAGACTCAGTACTTAGGGCTTTTGGAAAGCAAATCCATTCAAGACCTACATGCTGCCACTCACTTTAGAAGGAACCGATCAGAATGCGTTATCTGTTTGCTAGCAACTTATTAGTCATCCATCACAGCCCTCCAGTCCTGCGTGTTGAATCATTAATTTCAAGTAGTAGTCTGCATATTCTTCCTTAGCCCAAGAGCAGCTTATTCAAATTCATCATTACAGCCAGGTTCCCCATATGCAAGCACAGTAGCAGAGCACAGATAAAAGCAGAGATGCCCTTCCTTAAGTTAGTTCATAAGCAGAAATACTTAATTAGACAACCTGGCATTGTTTCCAGCAGTAGATTTGATACAGCAAAGACCTTGAGCTGTTCTGATTTCCCTGGGTCACACCCAAGAGTTCAAATGGAGATCAGACTCCTACTCTTAAAGAGGCAAAGGCCAACCATTCTTCTGTTTTGCTACTTCTTTAATGTCTAGGTTGTACAGCTTAAAATCATCTTCAAATGTGTGGCTGCAGGGCCTGCTGGCAGTCTGGGAGACTTAAGATTGCCCTCTCTCAGGCTGCTGTATGTCAGTGTAGCCAGCGTGTAGCTTTAATGGGTTCACATGGCAGCACCTGGAGAACAAAGATTTATTTCTGAGAAGCACAAAATTTAGTGTACCAAATGTCAAGAAACACACAAAACCCCTTGGGACTTTGACTCAAAACAATACTGCAGCCAGTTCAATGAAAACTTATACTCAGCATGCAGTAACAGTGAAGAACCGAGGGCTTCAACAGGTTGGAAAAGACATTCATTCCATCAAGTTATGATTACCCATGACCATACAGCAATTTCCAGTCATCCTGCCTTAAAGGAATTAATTTCAAGTCACACAGAAGTGTGCTTGCTGCATGTCAGCAGCCAAACATCCACTGGGTAAGAAAAACTGACTTCCATGAGGAACATAAAAACACGAGACGATGAACAAAAGAGGACATTTTTTTAAAAGCACAGCACAGAGAAGGCCTAAAAGCTGTTCTACGTTACCTCCCTCAATATATATGCATAAATAAAAGTAAAAGAAACGTAGAGTTTAACAATTAACTCGGAGAACTTGCCACCATAGGTTATTACGTAGTGAGAGAAGTAAATAAAAAGAAACCTCCTCAGGTATTCTTAAGATTAAACTCACAATTGACGATGCCAGCAAACATATAAGCAGGCCTTAGGCTTTACTGGCAAAGAAGCCAGTGACTTATTACATATGCGCATTTTAGCACACGGGAAGCCATCAAATGGTTTACTTTAAACTCCTTGGGAACCCTCAGTACTCCTCACTGTTAGACACAGAAAACACAGATACTCAGCCTTCAAAAGGAAGAAAACTTCCATCTCTTCTAAACTAATTTTTTTCAAAAGTAACATTTCCTTCAATTTTAAACCAATATATCACAACCTATTTACGCATATGTACTGTTACAATGTGACTTACAGTCTATAAAAGGTCATTATTAGTCATTATTATTGGTTACATACCTGACAGAACAGTAAAAAGATGCAAAGCACTGAGTTCTGTCCCAAAGATTATAATGCACACACAGAGAAAGAACAGAACAGAACAGACAGCAGGTGACAAGACTCTAGAACAGGACTGTTTAGAATTATAAATGTACAATCTTTGTCAACACCATTATGGTAAAGTTGTTTTCTGTGTGAAACAACAACTAGTGCATGTCCTTACCAATGGATCCCAATACAGTGATGAGAACACAGAAAACAAATACAGCACCTATACCAGCAGAATCCCACCACCATGCTAAGAACACATTCTATGCTACTAGGCCTGGATTTGATTAAAACTCCATGTATTAACACTGCTACAAGATTTTATACTGGTAGAAGCACTCTTTTTCAGTACTTGGAAGCAATAATCCCCATATTAAGTCACAGATAGATGCTTAAAATAACCCTTTATCCATTTTTTAAAACAGTTATTCACAGTACTAGGAATATTAAAAGTGTACAAATTGTGTGGCTCTAGCCAGACTGTTAAAGAAGAGACATTAATATCTGCTGTGCCAGCTGAATTCAAATTAACCCAATTTTTACATGTTAATTAAACCAGCTATTTTCTTCTTATTGTATTTTTGCTCCCTAAGTAGACTAGCCTGCTAGTGATTCCCAACAGATCTATTCTAACAACGACGTATTCATTTACTTCTATTATGACCATACAATACAGTAACTGAGCAGTAATTTTTCACAGTCAATTACACGTGTGATTCTTAATGCTTAAAGATGCTGAAATAATGTGTACTACATAGCCATATGCTCACTTCTCTATACTGCACAAGGGTAGTTGCCTGGGTAACACATTTTCTCTCCAGTTTAGCATCACCCTTTTGGGTTTACCATAGCCCTTCACTGAATAACATTAGGTGTCATTAAACAGCACATATTAACATGGACTTCAATATACTACTTAAGTAGTATATTTTATCTACCTAAACAAGTACTCATTTATGTCACAAAAGCAGAGAAAAACCCAGTGATTTTAACAGCACAAAGAGAGGAAGCTGAAATGTTTACGAAATTTTATTTCAGTTTTGAAGATATTCTACCCAAATGGTCAAAGTCTTCCTTCACCTTCACATCCTCATTATCAGTGTCAACACTGCATGATTTATTCAGGAAGACTCAGATCTTGATATTTTAAAAGCATCCACACACAAGAGCTTCAGTCCAAACACAACAACTGGGTATGGTGCAGCAAACCCACTATTTTACTGCTCTCTCCTTTCTTCCATGCTGCTTCTTTTGATGCTCACACCTGTGGTATCTGGACATCACATAGACATGATGCATTCCCACCCGAGAAAGTCCTCATATAGCCATGCAAAGAAAAAAAGCCACTACCCACTGTAATAATACATACAAATGCAATGATGAAGAGTTTTCTTCAGAAATCAATGCATATGTTTTTACCGTATCAGCAATTTAAACACGGTAACATAATGGGACACAAATTGAAGAGACATCTATTATTTTACACTGCAAGCTAGGTAAACTAAGTATAGTGCAAATTGGTCCATTAGAGGATAAATTTATACCCAATAATAATGAAAAATGCTGGCATTTCCAAGTGTTATTTTTGAATACTTTGTCCTTTCTAAAAATAAAGCAATGGTATTTCTCAGTAAAGTGTTAGTTACTACAGTCCAAACAGAGACATGCAGTAAATACTTATTTTGTTAGAGACATGTTTAAAAGTAAAACAAAAAATTGAAAAACAATGTTACAGTAGGCAGGACGGAAAATGCTTGGCCTGTTGCTGGTGGGCCTTGAGAAAGCCACTGTATTCTGGGGGAATTTCTGATTCAGCTGAAGCCAAATAAAGCATATTTTTAAACTAAGATTAGCAATGAGAGGCTTAAGGCCAGGAACCAGTCAAGGCTCTTCAATCTGTTTTATACAAACAACAACCATGCAATATAACACTTTAAAAACCCTGTGTTATTACCAATCAACTACTTTGAAAGGTTCATCTGGCCATCGGCAAGGTAACTATTTCCTTTTCTTAGGGGAAACCTTAAAATCATGCCTTCAGAAGAGAACAGCAGGAAAGCCTACCTCCAAATAAACCTCTGCCCTGACTTAAGATGGAGGCAAAACTTGCTCCCATGGCAACAGATATTCACTGAATGACAGAATATGCTTTAAGAGGTCTTGTACCTTTGTCACAACAACAGCAGCTCCTGTAGATACGCTCAAATCCTTAATCTCTGGCAATACAGGAATTGTGCTAAAGCCACATGAGATTTTGTCTACAGTACACTGTGGGATTGTATGTAAGAGCTGCTGTTCTTTCCACTTTACCCTCAGAATTTCTTCAGCTCTGGGGTAAGCAATTCTTTGCCCATTTATATCCTCTGCTCATGAGTCAGAAGCTGTTGAGCTGTCTGTCTTCCACCTGTGCGACTTACCAAGTTTAGTATTTCACACTGATTACACTTGGTACCTCTACCTACCTTCTCACCAAAATGAGAAGAAATTGAAAAGCATTCTAAAGAATGCAAGGAACAGCCCTTGTGATCCTGGCTCAGACCCTTTTAATGACAAGTGGTCATGCTCACCAGTCATGAACAACAGCTGCTTCTTCAGAGCAAACCAGGGATCCAAGACAGTGGATAAAATGCTTCTAGAAATATCCTAGCAGTATTCTCAGAACTAAACTACTTTTAGCCACTAACACTGTAACAAAATTAACTTGTCATTGCTCTTGCAAGATACTTTCTATTTTATACTAAAGCTAAATTACTGAACATACTCTCATGACCTTGAATATGTGTAAGTCTCTAAACACCGACAAGCCTACTAAAAATGAACACTAACAAAAGCCGTTTTGTGCTTCACTTTAAAAACTGGGAGCTCTGGCCTGCCAAGTTGGAAAGCATTCAAAAGAAGACCAATACATCCTCTAGGAGGACGTCCTCCTAGACGTTTTCGCCTCTAGGAGATTTCATGCCAGGAACCAAAAAGCAACTGGCCCTTGTCTCAGAGGATCACTCTGTCAGTTACATTATACACCACAAGAACAAGATGCAAATGCAGACTAAACAGATGGATGCCAATCACTTTCCAAACTTTCTCCATTCTTTCATATATTACTGTAGCAGCTAAATAAAAAGACAGCCTGAACATCAGAAGAGACTCTCCAAAGACACATTAGGAACATGCAGTCCCCTGTCACTGCACAGTGTGGATTACAGAAACAATCCCTGCCCATAGCAGAAAGCAGCAATTAGAAGCCTCAATACTCCACCACAAAACTCCCACAAGATCATGCCAAGTTATGAAATCCCAACTTGTCAACAAGTTCACATAGGTTACAGTTTTACATTTTGTTCTTCCTGACACCAGCTTCTGTTTGTGAGGGAGATCCAAATCACAAGGTATGGATTATGCTCTCAATCTTCTTATTACAAAACGGATTTGAAGCCATGTAATTTGGAAAATGACATTTTTGCAGGCATCAAACCAAGGGAAGAAATCTGAGAAATGCTTAATGTTTTCAGTCAAACATTACCTGAAGCCACTGCTTTCTTGATGCCATCAATGTTATCAACATAACCTTTTGCAGAATTCTTTTACTAGAGTAACAATCACCACATTAACTCATCTGCAAGGTTTAAGGTGCCCAGCTGTCAGATACATGGAACTGGCTGAGCAGAAAAGAGAGCACAGAAACTACTGCAGAAGTTCTCAGTTATCCCTAAGAAGCCTGCATTCTCTAGTCATACTTTATTTATCTCACATTTTACTCTCTGCAACCACTGATATGAGTCACGCCTGAAGTTTTCTGGTTTCTAAAAATGCCACTACTATACACTTTAAGTCCACAGCTAATTATTCTAAAGTTTCTCTAAGGATACTTTAAAGGGAGGGTTCAAAAAATGCATTCATATGGGTGAAGAGACAGCTTGCCTGGGCAAGTACCAAAAGCAAAAGCTAAGATTTCATTTAAGTAGGGGGAGGAAGATGGAGGGGTAGCTGATCTTGCCCATTGGCAAAGTCAGCCTTTCAAATGCAAACCACGTGCAACCAACTTCACTGCTGTCTTCCCAAGGCTGCAGAGTGACTCCCTAAATACCTTAGATGCTCCTCCTCCCTCTTGAAGGAAAAAAACAGCAGCAAAAAAACCTTTAACAGAGCCATGGCAAAATAAAGCAGGGTAACTTTTTCTAGGATCTCTTCCTACACCATCTAAACTTATTTTAGATTGCAATTTGGACGTGTTTGTGACAGATACATAGAGTAAACAGAGACAGAAAGACTCATGGAAGGAAAGAAAAGCAGGAGTTAGGGGAGCCAGCCAACAAACATGAAAGGTTCCGTGAATTAAAAATACATAGTAGACAGAAAATGGTTTGCGCCGCTAAATGGTAGGTGCTGTTGAAAACATTGTTTCTACTCTTGATACTTAGAAGATACTGTATTCCTTTATGCATCTGCGAGGGGGGGGGAGTGAAAAACAAAACACCACCCTTCAGGGATTAGACTTCTCAGAAGAATGGTTTTGAATTTTAAAAATGAACAAAGAAAAACAGAAAAAGAAAAGTAAACCAATCAACTATCAAAAAAGAAAAAAGAAGCAAAAACAAAAAATAAACCCAAAACCAAGCAAACAAAAAAGAACTCAAACAAAAAACCCCTCACCTAAACAAACAAAAACAAAATCACAAAAAAACACTTACCCATCTTTTGTCTGATCCACCACACCTGCAAGGAGCTGTACAGTGCTTGCATTAGGCAAACCATCTCCAATTATCTTCAGGTATCGGGTGACAAAGTCATGAGGAGACATGAAGAATTCTCCATTCTTCTCCACACTTGCATACTGTTAAAAGAATACAATATTTAGTGCCTCAATACATCCTTCTCCAGGCATTTATTACCACCACCCATGGTTTCCAGTCAGGAGCAGGCCTATGTTACAGCAGATGACAGTTCTGCTCCAAAGAACCTACAACCTAGACGCAAACAAGGTCTAGAAAAAGGGGGAAACACTCAGGCAGCTGGAGACTTGGCTTCCTAGCCAAAGAATCACAAATATATGATTTTTTGGTTATCAGGTCAACAATTTCTCCATGGTAGACTAGAAATGCTCCAGTACCGAATACTTCTTTTGAAGTAGAACAAGAAGCACACACACATTTGCAAGCATTGTATGTGGAATCTCGGGCCCACTGAAACTCTGACATCAACAGGATACTCTGGCATATCTTATTTATCTGAAATTACTCCTTTGTGCAGTCACTCTACTCCAGGACAAGGCAGTGTTACAGTCCCCAAAATGCCAGTGGAGCAAATGATCCCACAAGAGCGTCCACCTGGGGGTGCTGTTTTGAAGAACTCCACCTCACCACCTCCAGCCACAGCTGGTCCCTAAGGAAAGGAGAATCTACAGATTCTTTGGTTGAAATGCTGAAAGGAAGACAAAGAATAGAATTTACAGAAAAATGTAAAGAAAACAAGAACTTTGACAGTTCAGCACACTAAGAAAAAAGAAAAGAGGTCTAACACCTCACCAAACGCCACTGGCATAAATTACTCCTGCTTTACACCACAGTTACTGGCATACTACTCCAGAAAACAGCTACTGACAGACCTAAGCATATTTACTCCAAAGGGAAGCCTCCAGTAACATGTTACAAACAAAAGTAATACTAACACTTTTGAAGATAATATCTAAATAAATAAATACAATTCCCTTTGTTACCACCCCTACACTGATTCCTAGGGCATCCCTCAAATTTTAAAGCCCTCATTTTCTGCAGAAGGTTAAATTTGAAATCAACTCTAAAAATGTATTTCTAGTAAAGAAAAAGGATAAGGACAACAATTAAGAGGAAGAAAATGAAGAGGCATTTGCAGAACCATGTGTTAGCTTTAAAAGGAAACAGGTCTGTCTTGGGATAACAAATGTACGCTGAGAACAGGAAAGAAACTGCTAATTTCTCTTTTCTTTCTTTTTTTTTAAGGCAAGGTAGGATGATAAACCATTGTTGCAGCTCCCCATAGAGCATTATCCACAGTAAAGTAATAAATAAATTAGATGCCTACTGCTATTTTGTAGTGTACTTCAAAGACATGTTTTCTTTCACATTACTATGGCTCTGCTAAGGGATGAAAACTGCCAGTTTTCATTTCTTACCGGTGCCTGCAGCATACCGTTATACCTGCTGTAGGCATATAACTCTCAGAGGGATGCCAAAGTGTAACAGTAAGTAGATTATTTTCTTATAGTGCTATATAAATACCATTTTCAGGTACAACAATATCTTCAAGAAACAAGGCTTCAGAGAATCAAGCCCAAACAAAACATAACTTGCTTTGGCATCTATATATTGGTTAGTGCTTAAGGATTCCTTTTTCAATAGACACTGTAACGCAAACTTTCTAGTTTCTACACTGCAAGGAATTTTGAATTGTATACTTTTGAAAGAACTAAAAGATCAATTGATTTCAATGTAATCATTTGCAGAAAGACAGAATCCTTCAGAATCCCAGCCTTAGAAACTTTTAACACAGCTGCTATTGAGAAACAAATCAAATAAGTCAGACAGCCTATCCTTCTATATTTCATTTTTTTCATCCAGGCTAACCCCCTGCTAGGGCACTCAATAACAGAAAACAGCACAAGGTTTCAGGTCCCCCTGTTTCTTGCCATTGTGATTTACTCGAGTGTATTTGAAATCCAATCATGTACTCTCTACTACCTATAGAAAATGACCTTGAAAAATGTCAGCTTGATCACTTTGACTAAAATCTAATCTCTTAGGGGTTATGGTAGAAGACTTAGAAAAAGTAGAGGTACTCCTGGAAATTATCATAACAGAAAAAAACCCGAACATCAATTCTATTGGGTTTGGAGGAGAAACATTTAAAAATTGGTTCTTTACAATTTTATTTTTCCCCACTTTGGCAATTACACCCACAGAGAATTTGATATTATACAATAGTACGTAACAGCTTTTTGCTAACTTATTTACATACATTTTAGATAGTCAAGTAATAACAAGTTCAATCCCATTTAAAGTAAGATTTGCAAATATTTTATCAGGGGTTTGACATATTAAATATGCTAAAAGTTGACTGCAATCAACTGCATTTAAGCTGATTGTTTCATACTTATTTCCACACTGTGGGTATCACTCCTTCATGGTGATCATATTTTTTAATTCTTAATTGAAGTAGAAGTAATGGTTTCAAGTTATTTTGTAAGTGAAGATCCCACTATCCGCAGAAGCAACTGTATTGGCCTCACCACTTAAAATCATCTGAAGCAGCTTAATTAACACTGGCCATCACTTATCTGTAGAGCATGAAACAACATACCACATTCACTCATGCTTTTTCCTTCTCACTAGTAAGTGGCACGACAATTCTGTATTACACTGAACAAAATGTTTAGCTCATATTCCATTACTCCACGTTACTGAGACTCCTTTTCAGTGAAAGGGGAAGCAGAAAAGGAAGAAAAAGAAGCCAGAGGTGGCATTTAGTGTGCTCAAGTAAGACCCATTCAATCCACCGAAACAGTAAGGGTGCTACAACCTTCAGAAACGCCCACAGGCAGGTAGGAAACAATTTTCACACTATTCTCGGCAAACCAACTAGCCAACCTCCCCCCGTTCCAAATGAGCATCACCTCATATTGCAGAAGGGACCAGGCTTCTCTCTAGTGTGTTTATTTCTTCTCTCACTGCTACCATCTTCTCAGGTCAGTGGTCTACTGTGTGCCTTATCTGCAGCCCTGCTCCTGCTCTTTAAGCATACACCTCTGTAAATCACATAACCCATTCTTTTTCAAGAGTCTTTTTGCTCTCCTGACAGACAGAAGATTCCAGGACTTAATAAGTTAAATCGTAGTTTTCTCAACTAAAAATCTGATTTCAGAGCTATAAATACTGACAGTATATGATAAAACTATAAATACTGGCAATATACATTCTGACACCTACACATATTGTTAAGAATAGCTCATAAGGGACAATGGAAAACATACCAAGAAGTACATGGAGAGTGGGGCATGATACTGGAGAGAGCGAAGGTGGAGAGGAGAACTTGGAAATGTAGGAGCTCTCTTAGGCACTCAACACCTTCATAAAAATAATTCAGATTACAACACTGTGGCACCTACCTTGCATACATTATTCAGGGCCACCAATTTCTGTATTCTTTTTTTTTTCATACCAGAATACCAAGCTAATATAGATACTGTACTAATAAATCTTAGGAAGGCTAGGAATAGTTATTTAAATTTAGGAAACAGGTCAAAGAAAGTCAGTTTCACAGAATCATACAATAATTTGGTTTGGGTTAGAAGGGACCTTAAAGATCATCTAGTTCCAACCTCCCTGCCAGGGGCACATACATCTTCCATTAGGCCAGGTTACTCAAAGCCCAATTCAACCTGGCCTTGAACACTTCCAGGGATGGGGCATCCACAACTTCTCTGGGCAACCTTTTCCAGGGTCTTACCACCCTCACAGTAAGAGTTTCTTCCTAATATCTAATCTAAATCTACTCTCTTTCTGTTTAAAGTCATTCCCCCTTGTCCTCTCACTACATGTCCTTGTAAAGTGGCCCTCTCCACATTACTTGCAGGCCCTCTTCAGGTACTGGAAGGTCGCAGTAAGATCTCCCTGGAGTCTCTTCTCCAGGCTGAACGATCATAACTCTCAGTCTGTCTTCATAGGAGAGCTCCTTCAGCCCTCTGAGCATCTTTGTGACCCTTCTCTGGATTCACTCCAACAGGTTCATATCCTTCTTGTGTTGAAGGCCCCAGAGCTGGATGCAGTACTTCAAGTGGGGTCTCAGAGGAATGGAGTACAGTTGGATAATCACATCCCAGCTTCCAGCAAAATACTAAAACACACTTCCCTCAAGTACACAAGCAAGTAAATGAGTCATTTCTTTACTTGCATACTTCTACAGCAGGCCAAGACAGAAAGAATTTTAGTCATATAATAAATATGGCCAGCACTTCACAAGGTGATCTTCCCAATACTTCTAGAAATTAGAGAAGCAGAGATAACCGTAAAGGAAGAAAGGAAACGAGGACGGAATAAGAAAATTTACCAAATGGTCTAACAGCAAGGTGTCTACACGAACATTTTACCACGTGTAGGAACAATACTGAAACTCCTACCACATTCTCTGAACAATGAGGGTTTTTTCTAAGATAGCAATACTTCTTCTGAGTCAATACAATAATCACTCAGGAATGTATGTGGTTTCTTGGTGAGCATTGTTCAATTCTGATAATGGTATTTAAGTCTAACATGGTAATAATACAGAGAATGATTAATGGTTAGAAAAAATATCAAGAGTTGTATGCTGCAATAATGGAGCAAAAGATACGAAAAATTTAAGCAGAAAGAGTAAAATATTTACTTTACACATACCTTCAAAAATATTGTTTTCAACTCAGCTGGATCAGCTCTCTTGGTTAGAGCCACCTACAAGTAAATACAATTACATTAATATGCATAATTTATATAAAAGATGTCAAAGTGTCATTTAAAAAGAACTCAAACAACAGAACGAGTGAGGAAAATAAATGTTCACCTTACATAAATTAGGTACTGCTTTAGCTGGCCATGTTTATTTTACTCATTTCACACTTTACGTAAAGATATTCAAGATTTTTGTTCTAACTGCTTTCTTTATGCAATCCTGCAATTCTTAAACAAGCACACAGTAACAAGTCATAAAGACATTGAAGAATCAAATCTTTACAACATACCTCTCTGCTGGGATGCAGCATTACACCATCTTTACCATACAGATTTTTACGCTTCCAGTACCTTTCACCCAAGGATTTCAGAGTACCATACACAGCCCACAACTGATAAATGGCAAGAATAAAATACTCTTACAAACTTTTCCAAGAAAGTAGCTCCATAAAAGACTGAATTTCAATGTATTTTTCTGGTTTATTACTTCCAACATTTTAAACTTACAGTGTAGATCTTTCTGATGAGGTGAATTCAGAACACAGAGTATCTGTATTTTCTGCAGATCAGACAACTAGCCAGTTCCAACTAAAATCTAAGTTACATTTACCACCACAAACCCCAAATAGTTACACTCTTTTGTCCCAAAACACTGAATCAAAAAATATTCAACTCACTATGGAGTAAGTCCATCGGTATTATCATGGTTGACACACCATACAATCCATTTGCTGCTTTTGGCAGTAAGTGGATTCATCCCCTCAGTCTGTGCCTGCTATAGAGTTTCCCTTTCCTTCTTCAGGATACTTTGATAAAATCTTGCTTGCCAGTATAATAACCATCATCAGATAAGTCAATACAGAACATCAACCTATTTCTAATAAAAAGTAAATTACTTTGTAAGCAAACCTGGATTTTAAAAAAAATTGGGAAAACATCTCTGTAATGAGGAATAAACAGCCAAAGGGCAAGACATAAAATCTTACCCTCACCTAAGAATTAGACATCAGAAACGTTATCAATAAAACACTATCTCCCTTTCTGACTCTTAAGAGCAATGTAGACTGTAAAGGCAAATGTGACTGCAAGTGCATTTCTAGTGTCAGTCTGTACAACAGCATTACATCCTCACATGTATATTTAATAAAGAATCTTTAGTAAGCTTTTCCTCACCCTAAATGCATCATTTAAAAACTGAGCAAAAACAAAAGACAACAAAAAAGTCCCACCAAAAAACCAAAACCCAGAGTATTTTAGAAAAAGTGTATGATTAAAGTTTCTTATCAAATTTTAGAGGGCTTTTTAAAAGGGAAAAACCACGCCTGAAGTTATGCTAGGACTCAACTGACAAAGTCCACAGCTGGAATCCCAATTCTGTGCTTGCACAGAAATCTGCATGAAACCACTTGCAAAAAATCAAAGTGTAATTGTGACGTTGGGAATGTAAAAATGTGTATTTTCTAAAGTGCAAGCTGTCTTAAATATAATCACTGTAAGCAAAGACTTAATTAACCCTATTTGTAAAAATCTGTTAGTCTAGAGCAATTGGGAATTTTGTGGAAATCAAAAAAACCATGTCTATGCTGCTTCAGTTCAGAATCTTGTCATAGTATAGGCAAACAAATGACATTTCAAACACTTATAGCCATTAAATATAAATCAGTATCACACTTCATCTGCCTAAAGTTTAAATTTTATACTGCACAGAAATCTAAGCCTAAAGAAGCCAGGGGTGAAAAAAAAAAAAAAGGAAAAGGCACATGCTGATAGCTGAACTTACACTCACTTTCCTTTGGTTTCACTGAAATTAACAGTCTTGAGAAACTTGGGAGCTGTGCTCACAGTCCAGTTGCCATTTTTCAGCCCCCTTTTGATTATCAGGGAATTTAGGTGGTGTTTTTGAACAGTTAGTTTCTTCAAACCATAGGCTGAAGTTGGTCAGGTCAGTGAATGCACAGAAGCACTGCAGACTGGCAGGCCAAGCAGTGGTTGCAGACCATGGCCTTCCTCCATTTCCCAGCAAACAGGAGAGGAAAGGTATGGTTAACACTGTGTTAATTGGTACATCAGTGTGTCATCCACCAATGTCCATTTTGAAAGGCGTATCTGACCCCAATTAAGGAAAAGAGCCTCTATTAAGTTACATTAGAAGCTTCAGGAGGACTGATGCTAATGCAGCCATACCAGTGCTAAGAGAAGTATTTAATTCAGCTTTTCATCCATACCCAGCTATGGGCAAGGCTGAAGCTGCACGCACAGACTCAAAAACTGATCCTGATGACAGTTGTTACTAGCAGATTTCCACTTTGGAAAAGGTCAAAATATCACTTTCCATACCATTCTGTAAATTGTTCCCAGTTATGTCAGCAGTTGAAGGTGGGCTAAGTAATCTGATGCCAACAAGACTGCAAGCTGACAGGTAGCATGCCTGATGAAAAGTGACCCACAGACAAAAGCTGCTTCTCTTCCAGTCAACTCAGGTGATATTTACTGACTCTCACATAACTGGGCTTAGGTAATGTGTTTTGTTACTGGAAAGACTTCTCCATTTTACTTAATCTTCTCTCCACAAAGATAAAACCAGCTATGAGGTGGCAGGCCTAACATCTCTAGTTGCTTGAGGAGGCATTTGATAAAGCAGATCTGAGGGAAATAATGTTTGTTACTGCTCTTTACAAGAAAATTCTGTGTAACAGACACTAACACTTAAAACAGTAACTTTATTAAGTAAGGTTCACTGAGGAAAGCTCTTCAACAAACAACATTTATCATTAAAAAAAAAAACAGGAGACAACAGGGCGTACAGAAACTAAAGGGCAGGATTATAACCAAGTTAGAACATTCTACAGGAAAGGTTGGGATAATGTACAGAAAATGTCAGTGGGGATTTTTTTATTCCTAAGGTAGACATCTGAAAGTCTTTACCAACATACTATGTGTACATGCGTGGTATAATGTGTGTGAAGAACCAGACAGAACAGGCAATATAAGAATTGAACTTAAAAATGTTGAATCCCTCCCATTAGCAGTAACGTTCAGCAAAGGGGGACGGACATAGGGTGCACAGAGAAAGGGAAAGCTCTGTAAGTGAGAGACAGTAACACAGAGATTGATTTGCATGCTGGAGCTCTTCATATCCTTAGACTTCTTTGCACCTTGATCTTAATTTTCTCCAGCAGACCTCTTTTCTCCTCGTTGACTTATGCTCAATTTACACACACATGCATTTTCAGTCTCACTTCCATACTCAAACCAAATGCAAAAAGTCTTCCCAGAAAAATAAAACTGCACAACACAAGAAAACAGAATCCATTGAGAATCAAAGAAAATTATATTACATTTCCAATCAATTGTATTAATATATTTGTCATTCATAAGGTAGAAGAAATAGGTTGTCAAAGAGTGTATGATATCAAAAGACACAAAGGACTAATAACGTATCAAGTGTGTTCCACCCAGTAAAGAACAACAACATGGGTGGGCAAGAGAGAAAAAGGACAGTAGGAAAATCAGCATTTATGGCAATATAGCATTAATCTGATGGCAAAAATATAACGTTCAACTTTCTCACCATTATGGCAAAGATGACTTTAGTAGTCACAATCTGGAGAGAGTCAAAAGGTGACTGGAATACTTGGAACGGCTACAATATTAAAGAAAGTTTATTGGGACAACAGAAAGTCCTAAACAAAGAAAAAGATATAAACATCTTTCATATTGTTCTTTTCTCTTGGTTTAATCTGAATAGAAATCAGTTGAAGGAGAAAGTTGATAGAGGTAAATATGTTGCCCCTGACACCAAGCAGGTAAGATGCCGGAGAGCAGTCCTTCTTCAAGTACAGAGTCAGAGCTGTGGCAGGGCTGCCTTGCTGGTAGACAGTGGTGAGCTCAGTCTCTTTAGTTTTAGAGAACATCATCCATAGGCATATACAGAGAGATGTTTGATGAAAAGCCCAAAAAAGTGATCACAAGCTCTAGTAGCCTGTGTTGAAATTAAGATTATTTTTCTGAAGTTCATCCATTCTTAAACACAACTAACGAACACAATTTCACACCACTAAAAGACCACAAATCAAGACTGAAACCTCATCTCTTCTAGAGGTATTCTTTAGTTTCATCACAAGTTATTGAGTCCACCTGCAAGACTCAAACACATGTGGCCCAGTTCATGTAAGAGGTCCCATTAGATCGTCATAATGTTTCCTTCTGGCTAAAAGTATACATATACACTTCATATGTGTGACTCTAAAGGAGATCAAACCAGGGTTTGACCTTACCTCCTTGTTTAAATGCATGACTGGAATACTGGAAACCAGTTGAAGTGCAGTTAGTTAAAGTTCAGATCAGAAACCTACTACTACTGTTTAAGTATTATGCTAAAACAACACTCTATTTTTTATTTTAATACAACTAACTTGCTTACTTAGATGAAAATCACCTTTCTTCCATACTTGCACTAATACTACCACAAATCTTTCTTCTAACCCAACAAGTCCCCTTGGTCACTTTCCATCAGCACACCCACATCCCAGGTTACAAGTGTTCTGCATCAACATCTGTCTGGGGTACTGTCTCCTATTTCAGCGGCCTCAGTAAGCATTTTTTGTTAGTCCAACATGCACATTCTCCTCTCAGCAAAAGGACTGCCATTCCTTCTGCAGTAAAAGAACTTCACTGTGATCTGCAGTGGAAAGCGAACGATGCAGAACTCGGCATTACAGGGAAGATTTGAAGCAAGATGTGGACCAGCTCACCAAGCAGAGAAGTACAGAACCAGACAACTACAAGGAGAGCTGGCACTGAATGCAGATCAAAAACCTTCTTGCCAGAGCTCCCAAACAGTAAACCGAGTATTTCTCCCAAGCAAATGTAGTCAGATGGCATTTGGCATAACCACCCAAAGGCTTAGGGTAAGAAGGACTGTAAGAGAAGCTGATAACTACCAAGCAGGTACATTCAGTCTGATCAGTCTGAGCACAATAAGCCTTTAGTCAAAAACATTTATTTTTTAAAAGCAGTTCTGATCCTCAAACATTACAACTACACTTTGCAAAAGTGTAACCTTACACTAAGCAGCAGTTACTGCATTCCTTTGTCTAATAACACCTAGCAAATCTAAGAAAAATGAATGCTATTAACAATAACCAGTAGTTTTTTCAGATCCTACAGGCTGATTCAGTATGAAGAGATACAGAATAAACACTATTGAAACTAGACAGTTGTGCTGAGTCTACCCCACACATTGGTGAAGCAAAATTTGCTAGCTAACAAAAACAGCAAATCTCAAACAAAACTATTTACATCCATCCACACTCCATCACAATTATAAGTCTTTGGCAATTCCCAGTCCAGCTTCTCCACCACAATAAGTGGAACCTTCACTTCCCTCAAGTGCATCAAAGCTAACAAGTCTCCTTTACTGTGCAATTACCTTCTAGCTTTGATCCTACTGTCCAAGTCCCAGAACAAATGCAGCTGGTTTGTTCATAAGACAGTTTCCCCACAAGGATATTCCCAATGAACCACAGTATTTTTGCACACAAACAGATTAGGGACCTACACACAGTTACCAATTACACACAGACAGGAAAATCCTTGTCCAGTTTGTCCAATCCTTCCAAGGAGGTACAGAAACCAAGGTGGAAGTAGTACATATCTTAACAAAAACTGCTACAAGAATTTCCAAGAATAGCTAATTGATGCTATGTAAAAATACATTTAGACTGTGTACTTCTACAATTTTTCTACTTAAAGACCTGGAAAACAAAAGGACAATAAAACTGCCCTGATACTAAGGTAAAAATAGCTAGGCATTGTCATTACTCAGTAAAATTGTTTAGCTAAAGGAAAAAGCCAATACTGGGTCCAATACTATCCACTCCAAACTTTAAGCACATATCAGAAAATGCAGTTAGGAACAAATTGAACTACTGGTTTGTAGCCAGTCTCCAGACTAGGACAAGGATACAATTGCTGTCATTCCTACCACAAAAATCAATGCACCACACTACAGCAAGAAACTGAACTCGAAAACAAAATCTTGATTAAAACCAGAAATTTCTTTCACTTTTCTTATTGCTACAAGAAAAGGCTCAGCTCTCAAATCACTTTACCAATCCACCAAAAAGTGCTACCATAGTCTGCATGGTAGTAGATGCATCAGTCCATCTTCTCTCTCAAAGTAATATTCCCTATTGTCTCATAGTTCCCCTACAACACGTTTTTACTCAGATGATCTTCAGGATGGTGATCCAAAGATACACCAGCAAGGTACGTTGCGATGGCCATTATGCTGTGTTAAGAATGTATGTCACTGTTATCCCAATGTTTCTCATCAAACTAGAGCTCATGGCTCACTTGCAGAAATGCAATAAGTATACCTAAGATATATTATGGGTCCTTCAATAAAAAAGTTTATTTCCAAATGAGCTATTGAGAAAGGTCAAATGACACTTTCATCCAGTCATGGGGATTTTTCAAAAATACCTGTCCCTCCTGCTCACCACAGATGGACGAGATGATAGATGCTAACACTGTTACTTTGCTCTCCGTTTTGCTTCCTTACACCTTTCAGAAATGGAGGCATTATAAACCTGATGAAACACATTTGGTGGCTACCTCAGCCCAGATTATAGATTCTCCCTTTTGATTCTCCCAGGGCATGTTTTGTTACGACAGTACTACTGTACAGCCAATGCGCTGACCATAAACTCAAGACATCAACTGCCTCATGTTCATCTTCTGAAAGCAGTCATCCCAGTTCCAGCAATTTGTCTTCTAGAGCTAAACTTCAGGCTCACATCTAGCAGGAAAATGTTCACCTCACCCAAAGAAGCAAAGGATTGGAAAATTCTCCTGTGTAACAGCAGGATTCAAAGTAGTTCCTGAAAAAAGTAGACAGTTAAGATACCTATTATCACTCAGAAATTATAAGGGAGAAGTGGTAGACTATTAGGTTAGAATGAATCTTATCTGGTACTCAATGTTACTAGCAAAAAATATGTATTTGGACCAGGATTAAGCAATGGGTGACAACTAAGACAAAAGGCTGTTTAACGCCATCGTTCTCACAAGGCAGCACCTTCAGGAAGCATCATCTCACAGCCAGGCAGAGCACACCTGTGAGCTCTGGGAGACCCACCTCTGAATGCAATAAACAAGTTAATAACTCCAAGGTCCCCTTGCCCATGTTGCTCAAGGTTCCCAACAGCAACAATCACTGTGGGTTTCACCTGTCTTCGAGCTGCACACCCCAACAATCACCCAAATGCTCACTCTGTCCCTGGCATGGCACAAAGCAGCTTTAACACCCTAAATTATCAGGAGCTTCCACCAAGGGGAGTCACAATCAAAAGATACAACACACCAGTATGATGCTGCACCCCCAGGGAACTTCTTGAGAGTCCTGCATTGTGTCTGACACCATGCAGTACACACAGCAACCTAAAAAAAAAAAATCCCATGCTTTATCTGACACCTGCATAAATTGCAGAACCAAGATAGCAAACAATGGCGGAAATAGAAATCTTGAACAGTATTACAAAAGGTTTCTCAGTGATTTTCTCTCCCAGATGTCAACATAAGCTCCCAGTGACTGAGCAGGATGGTTTGCAGCAATACACAAAAATCTGCTGCCTTTTGAAGAAAACAAACCAGGAGCAGTGCCACACAGGGGTATTGTAAGATAATCATCTGCTCTTATGTAACTACTAATTCTATGATAAGGAAAAAAATGTATATAGATGTGCAATCAGTCCCTATAAATGTGCGGAAAGTTTATAGACACTGTCTGAGGTTGTTGCTAGAGTAACTTGTTATTTGTGACTTCATGCTTGTGAATGAGCAAGTGAAACAAATATGCTGGAGAAAAGTTCCTATACATTACATACCTTGACTAATACTCGCATGACAGGAACTATGTAGGAATAACTGACAGATAAATGTGTTTTGTTTCGGTGTTGTGTTTTCTTCTTTGAACACAGAAGTTCACTTTTCAAGATCCTATTTTTAATCAATTCCATCTATTCAACTCTATTTAAAATCCTACACCTCAGCAGCTCAGAGAACTGGGAAGGGTGTGGGAGTGGGCATGAATCCTTATGTGAGCATGGATCCAATCTACTACCTTGAAAAGAAGAAAAGACAACTGCACAAGGGAAACAGCACCACATGCACAAAGTAAACCTATTAAAGGCTATAAATGGTGAGACTCAAAGAAAAGCTGCAGTCAGGAACCCTTCCTCACAGCTAACAAAAATAACAGCAGCATTCCAACACATACTTTGGAAAATGATAACACAGTGCTACTTCAAACAAAAAAAAAATGTTTTTTATTTCTTTTTTTTCTCTACAGCACTAACCATAGTGGCACACTGTGTCATGAGAAGCATGGTCTGTGAAAGCCGAGTCAGAGTAACGATCTACCTTACCTACCTTTTCCAGGTAAACATAGTCAACCTCTGAGTATGGAAAACCTGACCTTTCACATTACAAAATATCTGATTCCCTTAAAGACCTGTCATCTTAAAATACATATGCCAAAATATGTGTTTGCAAACATGCTCTCTTTTGCCCGTGAGCAAGGGTATCACTGTTTGTTAACTCCCATCATATGGGTTTAAGTTTAAAATTATTACGTCATCTCCCTGAAGACAGGGAGTACAAAGTAAAGGCAGATAACATTTTATTTCACAATTCTTACCTTCAGTATTAACAACAAACAAATGTCTGGTGTTTAAATATTAGTAGATTACACAGTTGCCACAGGACACTACAGTTGCATGACCTTCGTTCTTGCTGAAGATCTGAACAGAAAGGTGAAGCTATCAAAGTGGGTACTTGCAAATAATTTGCAGTTTCATGTGGGAATATAAAATAACCCAATGAAGATCTATATCATTTATGTAAGGCAGTCACAGTAATACTAGAGGTTTATCTACCAATAACGCTGCCGATGCTTTTGAGAACGCACGCAGGATCACTCTTGAGGAGAAAAGACAACGCAGAAAGAATCGTGCCTTGCAGAATATACCACCTAAGGAGTCTTTCTGCTGTGCCTTTGGCAACCGGACGTGTCTATCTCGTATTGGCCTTTTTAGCCACCAACACGTTTGTAACAAACGTGGGTAGAGCCCTCCCCAAATCTTCGTTGGCGAAGCCCGGCCATGATGATCTACCAATGACTTGATGCAATCCAGTCAAGATTGTTAAAGAGTTCACAATAGTTCTCCATAATTTACAGAAGCTGTAAGATATCTGACAACAATAACTCAAACTTTCTAATCTCCTTAAGAAACTGTGGAAATATTTTCAGCATTTTAATACATTTTAATTACAAATGATTCTGATTTTAGCTTGAATGATTTTGGCTTCTCATCCGTAAGTCTATTTTATGATAGATACTTGCATAAAGCAATAACTGTTTCATTAAAACAGTAAATTTACTTCTGCTGCATTGCCCTCAGAATATTTTTGTGAGATCACTTGGTTGCAGTGGAAATAATAATGATGTCAAACTGAACATTTTTATTAAAGATAGGAATTTAAAAAAAAAAAATCCTTAAATTACTTTCAGGCAGGCATCGTTAGAAGAGGGGAAAACAGATTTAAAATCTTTTTTTTTTCCCAAGAAAGGAATTTCCATTTTCTTTCGGCACATTGTAGTCAAACTAAAATCTAAAAATACCAGATTAAACAAACACAGAGCAGAGTTTAAGATATTAGAGAAATTCTGCCACTATTCTTTCAATGTCTCATTAACCAGGAGCTCTTCCATTTCGTTCCTTGGGCATTTGGGCTGATGTCAGCACCCTAACATGACTAAACTAATTCAGAACAGTATGTCTGCTGTTCCACAGTACTCTACTTTTTAGCATCAACTGTCAAAACCATAGTAAAGTTCCAAAAACTTCTTTCTGATCAGTTGATCCAGCATTTTGAAATGCAAAAAATTAATGCTTCACCTCAAGAATATGCTGAGTTATCAATCAGTGGTTACACCTCAAAGCTTTCACAACCAGCCCAGAAAGCCTCCAACGAACAGAAAAGCCAGGACACCTCACACTGGTATTTATTATAAACCCTTTGTTTGATCAAACTGTGGGTCACGGACAACACAAAGTAGTACCCCCAGGCTTTCAAAAGCCTCATAAGAACTGTAGGCACATAATCTGTATAAAACTTCCTAAAAACATTGAAGGAAAATAAGTGAATTTGGCAGTCTTTCTGTGAATACTTTGTTAAGCTCCTTCCATCATCTTCAAAAGTTCAGTGCCCTCTTTCCCTCCTTCTCTCCCCACACATCCACAAGAAAAAGGGAAAAAGCTGGTTTACTATCCTTGACTTGTCAAAGGCACACAGAATAAGGAACTACTAAGTGCCATTTCAATTATACAGGATTTGGGTTGAATGTTTACACACTTGAGACTTAAGTATTCTGGTTTGGGCTATTCTCACAATTGAGATACTGAAGCTGTATGTTACATGCTATGGAAAACCAAAAGCAAATTGCAAGAGTTTTACAGTCACTATCATTTTCTTTACTCTGAGAAGCTCAAAACTTTTGTAGTATAATGTTCACAATGCAGAAAAGACTGAACCTGCTGCTTAATACCAGTCAGTCTTGAAAGAAAAGATGCAGATTGATCTAGGTCTGTTAACAGAGCAAAAGCAATTGCAGAAAGTTTGTTGTTGCCATGTTTTTCTTCCTTTTGAACAGCATCAACATGGGACTAATTCATGATCTTTAGCAAGTAGTTTCCAGTTAGACTGACACACAATGGCAAGCAGTCTTAGACAGGTGAAGTGACAGGAAGGAGGAAGGCTGACTTGATGTCAGTGACAAAAACTATTTTAATGGAAATGTGAAATTATTCAAAAATTTCTTCCCCTAAACACGTGAAGATTTCTCCAGTCAGGTTCAGACTGCACAATGGGCTGAGAGCAGGAATCAGGCAGACACAGTATTTTTACATACTGTGGTTTTTCTAATGGCTTTTCATACTCAGTGCCTCACTTAAAGGTTTCTTCTGTCAAAGATCTGTTAAATGAGTGATGTTTCATCAAATAGTAGTTGTCAAACATGATAAAGACCTACAATAATAAAATACGTGACCAAGAGGTTTTAGTAGCCAAGGATCCAGGGAAGAGTGGAAATAGATTGTATTTCCAAGGCACAGAAAATGACAATAGTAACTAACAGCTGTTTGTTCAGAAATACAAATTTTCAGATCTTTTCTATCCTAAATTAAGATCTATATACCAGGTCATGCAATTGATGGATGTGACAGGGAAGTCCCATAACAAAGGACAGATGATAATGCTTGACTTCTTCTGCAGAATATACTTTTCAATTAAGTCCTTTAAGCAGGGAGACTCCTGCCTTGCTACTGATATGGGGCAACATCCTAGTCTCTCTTCCCCCAGTTAAGAGCACATACCAGGCCCACACTTGACCAAGTAGATGTAGTGGGCATCTGGCATAAAAGACCTGCAGAAAAGATGCAAAGCAACACCACAAACACACAAAAGTACTAAGAGGTATTAAAGGGGGAGATTTCATTTCTCAGTGTTGGAAACGATACGCACACACATTTGAACACACACCTCTAAACCAGAGCTGCATGCACAGACAAAGAATGTTTGTGTCATGATCCCACTGACAGCCCTTTATGTTTTGGAGATGTTACCTGCATTTTGATTAACATCTATCAGTCTTTGATGAAAGATGTAGTCAGATGGCACTCAAGCTAGTCCAACACTGAATAATTTTCTCTAATTTATTCCTTTAATACCATTCTAATTTACTGCTTTACTCTGATGAAGTGGGCACATCTGGTAACTTCCCAGAATCAAATATCCGTTGGCTGAGGCAAAACCCCAAAACCTCAAATAAATGATGATTCTACTGGCTGAGAGAGTTCAGGTAAGTTGGGATAAGAAACAGCAACTTAAATATAAAGACAATTAGAATTTCTTCCTCCTACTAGCTGGATGATTGGCATCTGGCTTAGGATCATCCTTGTGAAAGCATCCTCCCCTGTCAACTGAGTGCACTTTTAGGCAGTATGCAAACACTATCAGGAAGAAGGTAGAAAAATGTGTGCCCTTCCATATCCTGAAACCTACAGGCATTTTTCCCAGTACGCAATGTCAGAAAGAAAAACAAAGGATAGACAGTGGTAGTTATTTTTCTCTTCTCATCTCCTTGCAAAGCTAGCACTAAAAAAAGACTCCAACCTGCCACAGTGCCTTCTTTGAACCTTCCATTTCCTGTTAAGTTTAAACTTCATTTCTCAGATAGAAATGAAGGTTGGCTCCAGGAAAGAACATTTTTAAATCCTCAGTGAAAAAATATCAGAGACTGAAAAATGTGAAAAGATAAATACAAAATAGCACATGGAGCTGGAAAAATCTGTGATCAATGACATTTTACATAACAATTTGAAGTCCGGTAAATCAATTTCAATTACAAAGGAAGTACCAACAAGATCATAGTGTCAAAAATAGAAGGAGAAAGAATAAACTCTATTGGGGAAATGATAAATGCAATTCAAATACATCAAATCACTGTTCTCATTCTTTTCTTAAAGTTTTTAGTCTAAGAAATTTGTTCAACTATATAAGAAATACTAAGACTTTGATCCCCCACACTTCCCTCCCTGTGCAGTTCCACAACTGCTCAGAAATGTTATATTTTAAATTTGCTTTACAGCTGTTCAACAGCCATGGTTTTAATACTTCAGAACACTAATTACATAAAGACATCTGAAGGAGGAGGGAAAACAAGGTCTGCTTCTACCTATTTATAAAGCTGGCAAATAACTGTAGTCATCTAGCTACACAACACCTTCTTCTGTATTCCAGCTTTGGAATTAAGGTTACTCTTTCCAATTCTTCAATTGCCCTAATCATCAAGGCCATAACAATCATAGTTGTAAAAAGCACATGTATTACTCTTCTGATAGGGTCCCATCAATGCAAAAATAGCATTTAAAAGCCTTGAAATTTTCATACTGATGGAATTTTTTTTAAAAAACAGACTTCAAGAATTTAAGAGTATATTATCTTCACATGGGACTGATTTACAATGAGACTTGAAGACTGGAAAATAACTTAAAGACTACATGCTAATACTCTTCAAGTAAAAGTATTCTCTTGATATTTCTATTTTGAACAGAAGACACAAGCAAGTTCCAGCTATATAATCTGTGGCTAATCTCAATATAATATAACAATAGTTCTACAGATAACTACAACTCTAGGACTATCATCGCTGGCTCACCAAAACTTAGACCTTAGCAGGTAAATTTAATTCTGTATTCTGGCAGCTTTTAGCAAATTATGCTGGTCAAAAAGCACTTAATGTGCTTCAAAAAAGTCAATTTCTAAAAGATTCTTCTTCAAATTACAGTATATCATTTTTGTATATCAAATTTGTATATCAGTATATCAAATTTGCCTCCCTGATCAGTCTGTTTTGCTGTCAGACAGTCTGTCCCAGATACCCAAGAGAGGTGCTGGAGCAGTACAGTCTTTATCTGCTTTCTGTGAAGCACTGCACTTTACAAAAGAGATGATCCTACAGGTCTCAATAAAGACACATGTTTGTGTGTCTCACTCCACATTAAAACAAATTTCTTTAATCCAGCAGTATGCAATATGATGCTGTGTTAACACCTTTTTTTCATTATTTGCACCTGGTTTTAATCAAAGAGAAGTAGTAATATTTTAAACAGCACTAATATGGCTGGGAACTCTTCACCTGTCATAAGGACAGTCTGTAATAAAGAATTAATAGTTTCAAGAGAGGTTATCTGTCCTATTCATTGCAATCACAGCCATCTAAAATATTAACAGTATGAATGCCAAAAATGTGGAAAGACTAAGGAGATAAGACAGGCTGAGCGAAGAGCAAAGAAAAATTGTCACTTAAGAATGGAAAAGTATTTTAGAATAACTAAAGCAATCACAATCACTATTTATTACAATAAACTCAGATTGGCCA